GACTGCAAGAAATCCATGTGGAAGCTGTAAAGCTGTAAGTAATTTGGACTGTCAGCTCTTAGACATAAACTGACACTATTTATTTGTACCTAATGTCCTGGAAGAGGTGCTTTGAGATATTACATGCTACCTCAGTATAAATGGTTATTATTTACTACCTATAATTAAAAGTATTTAAGCATACAATAATTTAGTGTTCATATATATACATTTAAAACCATGCAAATCTTCCATTTAGAATATAATTCAGGGAAAGCTTATGTGCAAAAATCTTCCAGTGGAAAATGAAGAGGCCCATGATACATGAGTAATTTTGATGCTAATGCCGTCATCCACCAGGCTGTCTAGCGTAAGGTCAGGGTCAGGTGTGGTGCTTGCAGTTTGGGTAGAATTGAAATAGTAGGGTTTTAATGGTCTGCAGACCTTGGCCAGGGGAAGGTTCCTGTCGACACTCACAACAGGCGGGCCCAGGCTGAACTTGGAAACCCTTGTTCTGAACTCCAGACCTACCCCAACCTTAACTCTACCCATGGCTCCACAGGTGATAAAACTAAGTGTTTGAGCCCTGCTGACGTCAGCACAGGAGGTTTGGCAAAAAAAAGCTTGATTTTCAGCTCCTCTTTCCCTAAACTCTGAAGCCTGCATTCCTAGAGATGCTGAGGAGCGATGCTGTCTGGCCACCACCCCAGCGAGTGCAAAATTCATACTCTGCTTTTCTTTCAAGTAGTCACAAGACAGAAGAGGCTCCCTGAATCTTACTTCTCTCCAAAGAGATCAGCCAAAATAAGGCAGAATATTTCCCATAGCTCCATATGCCTACACAGGATGTGGACTGTGATGCAGACAGTGCAGGACATCTTAGGAATATGTAGAAAACCTAGCGAAAAAACGAGAAGGGAGTGATATCCAGAGAAAACTATCCTTCGAACATCCAAAATTAAAGGTACAGCTCAAAATAAAAAAAAAAAATAAAAAATCAGACCTGCACAGGGAAGGAAAAGAAGAATAAAAGGCTTTTAGCTGCATGATTACAAAGGAAACAAAGGAAAGTATCACCAATAATAACAGCAGGGCAGATACCTAAAAGCTAAAGGAATATATTGCTTTAGTTTCCGTAAGGAAGAAAATGTAACCCCAGAGAGCAAGGGCAGCACACTTAATGGGCTAAAGGGCATGGATATGGAAATTACTGCATGCAACAGCCACAGAACTCAAGAGCTCTTTACCCTTTGCTTCTGAAGACTGAATAATCTCCATCACTGAGATCTGTAGGCTTTTTAGAGCAAATGTTAGCCATGAGTAACAAAAGATATGGAGGGAAGCAGAAAATGGGTTAAAGTGCAAGCTAGGCATGTTATATGTAGACTAACCCAGTACCTTTCTTTAATAAGATAATTGCATTTGCAGACAAAGGAAAACTAATAAATCTTATCAACCTGGACTTTGGTAAAGCATTTGATTTCGTATTACCTATATAATTATTAGTTAAATTCAAGAAGATGAGGATTAACATAAACACTATAAAATGCCGAAGGAATAGTACTGGGGGTGAAAACTGATGAGGCTGATAGCAAAATTATAGGACTGGAGGAATCAGTCTTCCTGAATAATTTCATTAGTTAGCTTGGTGCAAAAAATGACGAGTGGGTTAATGAAATTTGCTATTGACAAAGTTGGGAGACATTTTCAATAGAGAAGAAATCCTACAGGAAGAATTATATGATTGTTATGCCCTAGTAACAGACATGGGATGAAATGTAACAGCATAAAATGCAGGGACATGCACTGGGAGATTGATAAAATTTCTGCTGTAAATTAAAATTTATCCGCTATGAACAACAGAAAAGGAAGAGCCACGTGCCTGATGTAGTTATTAAAACAGTAAATGCATTCTTATATGTAGAAAGCCATGTATTTCCAGGAACAATAAGTAAATGTATGCAAGGCACCAGGTAAAATTCTGCTGAGATTTTAAGGGATTATTCGGGTTATTGGTGTTCAGCAAGCCTGAATTCATGCTGGAACAGGTACAGAGAAGTGCCATCTGGATAATCATAGGAAAAGAAAAGAGGAGGTAAGAGAGCATGTCTTGCTGAGCTTGGCAAAATGAATGGTGAGAAGGGATCTGATTCCTCTCTGTAAATATATTTGGGGTTTAAGGCAGGCAGAAGGGGGAAATAAGCACCAGGGGCAAGAATCACTCTACATTTATAGACAGCGTTTGTGCTAGAGCAGACGGGCATAAGTTGGGTCTGAAATGGGGAGAAGGGCTCCCACCGTGAGAGGAGTAACTGTCTCAAACAGCTTCTCAGTAGGAGAAGAGGGGGCAAAAAACCTGACCCATTTTAAGATGGAGCATCATAATGCTGTGAGCTGGCAGCAAGAACTGGGCAGAGTGTCCTTCCAGCCCAGGTCTGGCTCACCCGGGGAAGGAGAACAGAGGACTGGCCCTAGCCCATACTCACCTGGTTTACCCTACGCACCCGATAGTATAGGGTGCCCAAACATCACCAAGCGGTGGCCAAGGAAGCAAAGCACGCAATGGCTATATCTATACCATAGGGCAGACCATGCTTCCCCTTACCTTGCCCGTAAATCCCTCTCTAGGGAGCACCCAGCCCCAGTTCTGCTCCCTGCCCATCCCCTGCCTGGTGCCTGCCAAGTTTGGCATTTCTCAGTCATATTTTTCAGGGCATTCAAAGACTGCATTGCCACCATAGAAAGAGCCACACCTGGCTTAGAAAAAAACACCCGTTGGCTGCCCTGGCTTTGCAGCACTGACAGTGAGGTTCTTCTGTTTGCAGCAGAGGAAAACCAGCCGGCTGTGTAATCTCCAGCTGCTGACAGGTGCATGACCCATTAGGTGCAGAAGATCAGGTGAGCTTGGGTGGGGGTGGCCTTGAGAGGGTTGTCTTCATCCTCCCTATTAAGCAGACTGAGCTTTTATGTCTGTTATGTGCTAATGACTCACACTTGAGAGGTAGTGCTCCTGGGCTTATGGGAAAAACAAACACTGTGTTTTTGTGGTAAAGAACAGATCCTTCTCCTTGCCTGATAAAACAACAGCCATCAGCATCTGCCGGTGTGTGCTATCTGGCTCCAGGGCTCTGGAATCTGACAAAAGACCCATTTCTTGGGGCCATTCTGCGTCCCCACACAACACTGCCACTGAGATAGCTTTGACATCTGAACCTGCCATGTAAAAGTGCCTGCAGACTGCCTGGAACAGTCCTTTGTGCGTGAACGCTCTCCTACCCATCTCCACGGAGCAGTGACTGCACAAATCCAGAGGACAGTTCAGCAGCAGCAGAAGTTATCTTCTTCCACAGCCAATTAGTGTCACAGATGTATAAGCTAATGCGTGCACTCACAGTCCCAGGCTGCCCTCTCTGCTCTTCGCAAGTGCTGCTGTATCCATCTGCCGCTCACCCCCTGCCAGTCTCACCCCTGCCAGCTTCTGTGCACCGACCAAATGGTCAGTGCAACCTAAATGGGGAGGGCACCTAAATCCGGCTGTCCAGAGGCTGCCAAACTGATACAGTTGCCCTTTGTAATTAAAAGCTGCCGCATTAATTTAGATGAACCCCTTACAGTTTGCAATACTTATGTGCTATATAGACTAGGGACATCTTCCATCGCATACATTAGTTGCAGAAGCCAGTGCTTCAGTGAGCGTGCCTTGGGGGCCAGGGACTCACCAGGGCAGAAGAGCTTGCAACAAGCAGAGAAGTCTCAGGGGCTGAACAGGGCAAGGAGGAGGATGGCTCCTCTTCACCTCCCCAGTAGATCTTCACGGAGGTGGGGAATAAGCAAAAGGGAGAAGAGAGCTATACAGAGGAGCTACACAGCCAGGGCAAGAGCAAATCATGGTGAACAAACAGGAGACTGGAGGAAATGTACCTGGAACTGGAGAAAGGCTCCTGTGCCTTGGCTGTTCTCAAACTGTGCACGTGGGTTATGCCTCTTCTTGCAGAGCTCCCCATCAGGCTTCACACATGCCCAGGGTCCCAGCTACACTTTCCTTTTCAGGAACCTGCCATCTTCTCAAGATATTATTTTGCAGAATTTTGCCCTAGTTTTTTTATTATGTCCCCAAACACGTGAGAGGACGCACCAAATAGCTGAGCCGACGAAGCTGACAGCAGGCGAGCTGAACATATGTGTACCTCCAAAAACACCCACCGGCTTCTGAAACGCTGGCAGCCAGCCTCCTTCTATGAATCACGGGGTCAGGCCTCCTCTTCACACGGAGCCAGAAACCCACTGAGCCGAGCTCCGGTGCGAGGGCAGCAGACGTGGTCCCCGGTGGGGAAGGGAGCCTGGGCACGGCAGGACGAGGGGAAGCGGGAGGGCAAGCTCAGGGAAGGCAGCAAATGCAGCTCTTTGGCTCAAAAACGAGAGAGAAGGCTGCTTTGAAGAGGAGACGGGGTGTAGCGGAGGGCTGGGAGGTAAAATGTGGTAATTTGTAGGGCGTTATGCATGGCTGGACCACGTAGGGGAAAAGGAACCACACTCCATTTTGTCCTTCCTGGCAGATAACTTTTACTTGATGTCCCGTATTAAGAACTGTGCTGGAGCCCATGATTTATCAGCTGAATTGGGCTCTGCAGACGCGCTCATAAGCTTTCCCTGGCGTGCTCCTCACCTATCGGAACAATTTAAGCCGTTACGCGTCTGTCTGGTGGGGCAGGTGGGACCTCAAGACGTTTCCCACCGCCCCTAAGGGCCCAGCTTGTATCCCCCCCAAACTCCACCACCTTACCCACCCTGCAGAAACCCTCGGCGCTGCCGACGGGCAGGAAGGTCCCCCACCACGAGAGGCGCCGGGGTCCCCACGCAGGTCCTCATCCCCCTCCATTTCGGAGAAAGCACCGAGTTCCCCGTTCCCCCCCCAGGGGTCTCAGTCGACGCTCGTAGGGCAGCCCCTCGGGGCAAAAAAAAAAGCCGCCGGAGCCGCGGGCGGAGCCGGGGAAGGAGGCGGGAG